AATAATAATAATAATAAAAAGGAACTGAATTAGTGAAAAACTGTCAGACTGACTGACTTCAAAATACAGCAGAACTGATATAAACAGAAAAACTACAATATAGAATCTGGCCAAAGACAGCAATGAAATGGTACCAAATTTCATCAAGAGCAAAAAGTAGAAATGACCCTTCAGCAGTACTGTTGGAAATGACTGATGATGGGGTCACTGAATGTGATGTTAATGGAAAGAAAATTTCAGTATTCACAATGAGAATAATGATTTACACATAACTGTAGAACCAAGCACTTCACCTTTCAATTTTGGAATACTTATAACAATTAATTCATTTAAAATGGTAAAAATATATTTTTATCATCACAGTGTACTCACACGGTACTTTCAGTAATGCAATTTTTGACCAAAAACTAAACACCAGTTTTGAAGCATTCATTGCACTCCCCTTGCACTCATTTGGCACCATGTGACTTGTATTACCAAAACTACATGGCCTTTCAAGCCTCTGATTTTGAGCCATCTGAAGAAATTCAGACCAACGTACTGATAATACTAACAGGCCTTTGAAGAAATATTTCCAGCAATGTTTTAGCCATGGTAGAGATGATGGAATATGTGTATATACTTAGAGGGAAAGTACACTTTAAAGGTTAATGTCAACGTACTTGGTTTTACACAATCAGTCCGGATATCTGTTAGATTCCGTATATACTTACAACTTTTGCTGCCAAATGAATGTTACGTCATTGTAGACTTTGTTATGCAAATTGTCTGCTACAGATTTTTACACACTGGTGCGCTTAAAATGAACTTCTACTTGAATTTCAACTATGGGATTGATTCCCACAAATGATGACAATACTACAATGGGTTTCGTTATTACTCTTTTAACTGTAACCATACCTTTCTGTGCCCTTTTCTTGAGTTACATGGTACTGCATTGGTGTCAACCTTTTCTTTAACTCTGCCTTTCCATTCTGATCTTTAGCACTGTCTGACATTTCTCTCAAAGAAGAAGAAACTTATCTGTCTGGAGAAATTCTTCCTTCACACTAAACACAAAAAAGAATGACTTTTCCTTATTTGGTATTGCTTAGCGATTTCTTCCACCCACACTCTTTTTAATTCCTTAGAAATAAATTTGGCTCCTCAGTAATAGCATTTTCTTATGATGGAATGAATGCCGTATTAAACTGCTCGTATCTACAGTGTCTCTGCTCTTGCTTACAATGCCAATTCTTGTACCTTCTTTCGGCGTTCACACAATCCTTACGTCTTCCCCTCGTTCCATGACACACACACCTCCTACCACAGCCTCGCCGACCATTCTTCTCCACAGATTATCAGTTCCAGTCAGCTGTAAGCGTAACTCAACGCATAGATAAATAACTGCAGTACTCTGCCATCTATTTTCCTCGTTCAGGATATTCCTATTGCCGAGAGCTCAGTCGATAAAAAGGTTATCGTACAGTACTTTCACTGCTACTGGCGTTATCCACTGTACTAGTCTGAGTACTACGGCCCCCCGAATCTCTTGTTCATAAAACAACAATGCATAATTCTGCCACCTTGATTTCTTGTACAGCAGGGGTTATTACTCCGTTTTGAGAAATGGCTTTTATTAATATCATTTCACTCATGTGCATTAGAAAAAGTTTCTCAGCAGTGACTTTAAAATATGAACATTTCATTTACATCAAATTCACTGGACCATTGTGAACTATATTATACACAGTGGACTTACTTCCTCAAGAATCACCTGTTAATGGCCTATCTAGGCCAAAATATGTCTTATTATTATTTATTTCATCCATAGCTGTAGAGAATTACAATTGGACATATCAGACATCAACAACATCACATCAAAAATAACATAATTAAAAAAAAATATTAACATTCACACAGTGATTCATGACTATAATACAGCAATACAATTTTAACTTAATTTAAGAATAATAAATACTAAAAAAAAAAAAGAATAAATATTTTAAACATATAGACAGATTTATTAACAAGCAGTCTCATGTATCAGAAAAAAAGGCCTAATCCACACTATGAATATCCATAATCGCCATGGAGTCATCTGTAAAGAAATCTGCTCTAATTTCATGGCAATATCAATTTTTCTTTCCTACCCCCTCTCTCTCTTTTAATAAAATGGTTTCAATCAGTTCAGATTCACCGTCTGAGTTCATCTGCCCTTCTTAGTGGTGGTGTTTGCTCTATCTAACCCAATTATTTCATAGGGTCCTAACCACTGAGAGCTAAGATTTTTGATCTCCCTCTCTGGATAGTTTCATCATACAGGGGAACTTCATTTCCTATGATAAATGTGGCTTCTTTTGTTTTTTGTCATACTATTCCTTGCTCTTTTCATGACCTCTTAGTCTTTCTCTGGCCATGCTATGTGCTGTCTGTAGCCTACCTTTCAGCTCAGCTAAATAACTGTCATAATTATATTCGACATTAGGGTTCTCTTGTGGTGCTGATGGCATGCTTGATTTAATCATGATATCTTACTATCGAAATTAAATTTCTATGGAATAACTGGCAAAGCTAATGAATGGATCAAATCATCCCTCAAAAACAGGTATCAAAGAGTTGAAATAAATAATAAAAACTCC